ATTTTCGAGTCTTCGGCATTAGCATTGTGGATGGTCAGTGGTGAGCAACAAAAACGTTCAAGTTACAAGTTCATCAGCTTTCTGGGAAAATGGAAATTTATTACTTAAATATTTTTCATCGAACCTACATTGAGTTTAATTTCATTGCTGCCTAAAGAGTTTATCAAAATAAAGCATCGCTCCCCCACCAAACCCCCAGTAAAAAGAGAAGAAAGGAAACCCTGTTAATTTATAACAGGGGTTGCCAGATTGGGCCCGTTGCCTGTTTTTGTATGACCTATGAGCTAAGAATGGTTTTTACGTTTTTAGATGGTCGGAAACAAAAGAATGTTTTGAGATGTGAAGATTATATGGAAATCAGATTTCAGGATCAATAAAGTTTTATTGGAACACAGTCAGGCCCCATCATTTACCGCATAGTCTGACTACATTCCCCTCGAGTTGCCACAGAGACTGTGGTCCCCAACTCCTAAAATATATACCACAGCCCTTCACAGACAAAGTGCCAGCTCCTGACTTCCTCCGTTCAGCAGACGAGAAGAGCAGCGGCGAGAGCGTGTGCACTGCTCTCTCACAGTCTACTGCAGAACTGGCCCAGCTCCTTTCCACACCTGTTCACACACACCCAGGCTTCCCGTGGCCATGGCTCACCCGTGGCTCGACAGCTTCGTACGTGCCATAGGCCAGGGCACCAGCCATCTGCTCAATGCACCAAATGGGCAGCAGCTTCTAATACTTTTCCTGCCGCCAGCTGAGATCGGAAGGAGTTAAGGGTGCTGGGCTACCATACTGGGGAGCACCTGCATGCAGGCGGTAGGATGGGCGGGGCTGCTCACATTTCACCTGGAGAGAGATGGAGGAAGAGTGATGGGTTATCCTTGTCATCTCCCAAAGTGACCGTGCATCCCACACAGCATCACACGAGACCGTGGCAGATGTTAGGGGAACAAAGTGAAGGCCCGCTCCCCAAACCCACTCTGGCTTCGTAGTTAAGGCGGCGGCAGCTGACGAAGGTAACACTTGGTGATGATAACATTATCGATCATGGTAATACTTTGTTTAAAGGTGGAAGTCTGGGATTATTGCTATACCAATGAAGCAACAGGGTTAAGCTGCTATTATCCCTGGTAACCCCCCCATAACATGGTACATGGTCACCCATTTGTGACACCCCGCTCCATCTACCTTCTCCCTCCCTCTGCTCCAGCCCCAGCAGCCTCCTCGCTTCTCGAGATAGCCACCGGGTCACCCCTCATCACCCTCACACCTTCGTTCATGTGTCCACCTCTCAGGGAGGAAAACACATCCTCCCCAGCTAGTTTTGGGGTGATAGAAAGCTTCCGTATTGTGATTTTGGAAGTGGTTTCACAAGTGTACACATCTGTCAAAATTCATTGACTTGTACACTTAATGGGTGCAGTTTGTATTATATGTAAATTAAACCTTGATAAAGTTGTTTTTAAAAATGGGCTGCAGAGAATTTAATAAAAATGTGTGTGTGGCAATGGTTTTATATGTTGGATTAAGATCTATGCCCATTTGAAAAGTCTCATGACAGTAAAAGAAAATAATAAACATTGATTTTTCTGAGTAAGGATCATTTTGATCAGTCAGCAAAATTTTAACTTAGTATTTCTTGAGAGAACATGGTATTCTGTTTCTCAAAACTTAATTCTCAAATTAATTTTAACAGGCAGGACCATTTTTAAATCTTCCGTTTGTTCATAATTTATTTTATTTGCACTTCTTTGCCTTTGAAGGTATTTTTATGTTTTAAGCAGTTTTACAGCCGTTTTGTGAAGTAAGCGTATTAAAAGGATAGTGTTTAATCCGTGGGGCTAGTTTGTAGGTTTATGCATTCATGGGTTCTATCCTGAGACAATCTGTTTAGAGCCGTGAAATGGGTCCCATTTGGTCTCTAAAATCAAATTGCGTAGCTCTTGCTGCTTTTCCTAACGCTTGTCTTTGGCCCGTACATCACCGCCTGCAGGCATGACAGGTTTTCAGACTCTAGAAGTCAGTGGTGCTCACCGTGGCTTGATTTAAACCGTGACATTCATGCTCCGTGGGCCTCGTGGTCACGCCCCGCCTGCACCCAGTGAACCGCTAGCCGCCGAAGTGGGGTGTCTTTCATTCCACAGACTCTCCCCCTCCCATGCTGACTACTTGCTTTTCTGCCCCAGGGGACCATCAGCGTTGGCATCGATGCCACTGACCTTTTCGATCGCTATGAGGAAGAGTACGAAGATGTGTCCGGCAGTGGCTTTCCACAGATTGAAATCAACAAGATGCACATATCCCAGTCCATCGAGGTATTGGCACAGACGCCTCCGCGAGGGCAGCGCGCGGGCTAACGAGGCCATGCACCAGGCCGCGGGGCGGGCAGAGATGCTCAGGGTTCCTCATCTTTATTCACGAAGGGTGCAGTGAGCCACTTGGAAAAGGGCTCCGGTCACAGCCTTGTTTGTCACTGCTTTGCTGACGTGTTAGCAGCATGAGTTGGAGAAGCAGGGGGCAGGGCTAGCTTCCAAGGGCTCAGGGCTCTCCAGTCAGGAAGTGCAGGTGGTCTGGGAGCCCAAGGTCATGGTGATCTAGGGGTGAAAGCGGACCTCCCCGGGTAATTCCAAGAACCGGTCTTAATACAGTGTTAATTTGCACCACATGGTGCTGAAAACACCATTCAGCTGGGCCCTGGGGTCACCAGATGTCATCTCTCTGCACACTGGACGTGGCAACGCCAGGCCACTCTACTGAGGGTTGCAATAGGTCTCTGCTTCCTCAACTGTTTATTCTCAAGTGCATCATTCTAGAACATGAAGTCCTAGCTCAGGGGAACTTGCCCCCTTGGAGCTTCCAGAGTCCGTCGGGGCCGTGGGAAGGCACAGTGACGTCTCTGCAGTCTGGTGCTGTCAGCACGCAGAGAACCAGCACTTAGCCCTGTGTTTCCCTGGTGTTTTTTTGGTTATTGTTTTTGTCTTTGTTTTGAAATTTGCCTGTTAAAGCTTTTACAAAAGCATTACTTTGGTGGTCACATGCAGTTCAAATGGCAAAGCGAGGTAATTCTGCTTCTCAGCACACCTGAACTGCCAAGTCACCTGCCTTGTGCTGACTGCGTATTCCTGATGCTGCTGGCCTTGGCACTTGCTGTTGTTTTGACTCCTTTTTACCAGCAAATGTCATTTCCTAGGCACCCCTGACAGCTACAGACACAGCCATCCTCTCTGGAAGCCTCTCGACCCAGAACGGGAATGGAGGGGGCTCCATCAGCTTCGCACTCAGACGGGTCACTTCTGCGAAGGGCTGGGGAGAGGTAAGAATGTCACCTGGCGGGGTCGCGTTGTCTGTTACAAAGCCTTATTTCTGAACATTGACACCCGTCAAGCTGACCCTCAGAATGGCCTGGGTGGGCTTCATCGATGTGTCACAGGGTACCGGAAACAGGGTACCGGATGTCAGACTTCCATAAGTTAACTCTCCCCAAGAGAAAAGCATGTCTCGTGTCTAAGGAGCCCTCTCAGCCTGCCAGACAGCTCAAAGCTAGAATAGGGTTTCCCTGGAGATGCCAATCTCCAAAAATGCAACCGCGGGGAAGTCGGCAGCTGTGTTCCCGTTACCAGCTCTGCCCCGTTCCTGCACGGGTCAGAAGGCAGTGCCTCTGCCCCAGTGCTCCGGGCCACTGATCAGTGGTCATTTCACAGCCGGAGCTGCCAAGCAAATGGAGCTGCATCAAATTAACATTGAAGCGTTGCCTTGAAAGTCACCCAGACTAGTAAATGAGGCAGCCAGAGCCAGCCGGGCCTCCCAGGCCGCGAGTGCAGAACAGCTGATGGGTTCAGTGCCCGAGCCCTGAGAACTGTCTCCAGTCACCTGTGAGACCTGCAGTGGCGAAGCAGAGCACAATAAAAACGCAAAGAAGTGGGCACCAGGTGGGAGGGGGTGGGCCCACACCTGGCTGCCGCGGGTGCTCTGCAGATGCCCGGACGCCTCATGGACGGGGGAGGAGGGTGGGGACCCAGTTTCCCCTTTCAACCTGAGCTCGAGAGGTGAGCGGCGTTTCTTCCGAGGAGCGCCTTTCCGAAACGCCCCACTGGAGCCGTCCCCTTTGGGTCTGTGGGCACGGCCCTCCCCACCTGCCAGAGGTTGAGATGAGATCGTAAGAATCTCCCAGCCCCCGCTTCTGGAGCGCCGGCCGGCCAAGGCGTGTGGCCTTGAATCAGAGGAAGGGACAGCAGCCAGAGGTGCTCGCCTGAGACCCGCGTCGCTGCCGTGAGACGCAGCACCTAATGCTTCCGCTCTTCTCAACAGTTGGAGTTTGGAGCTGGGGATCTGCAGGGGCCGCTGTTGGGGCTGAAGCTGTTCCGCAACCTCACGCCAAGATGGTGAGTGCACACGGGTCCCCTTCGGTGGTCGCTGTGGACTTAGGAGACCAAAAGCTGTGTGTTCCTTGTGTCAAGGGCCTCTGGAGTGGCCCTGCCTGTCCTCCAGGGTCACTGAGGCGGGTCCTGCAGCGCCGGTGCGAGCTGGCAGTGCAAGCGCACTGGGCGGGGCGGCTCCTGCTCTGGCTGCAGTGCCCTCCTCTGTCGGGACGGGGCTCCTGCCCTGCCTGGTCGCAGTGGCTGTGAGTACCCCAGAGACTGGAGGGACAGTGCCTTCATGGGGATGTTCATAGGTCACAGGTCAGCACCGTGACGTATTTATGAGCTTGTGTATTATTCCTTTATCCGCAAGCATGTGTGAAGCTCTGCAAGGGCCATTGTGAGCCGTGGAGCAGCGTGCGAGACCACCTGGTCTCGGGTGGGTGACGTGCTGGAGCTTTAAGCCCGCACCAGCAGTGACGTCACACTGCTAGAACTGTACTTCCCTGTCCCTTCTAGAACAACAGGGTGTCCTTGTTGCCATTGGGAGGGTACCTGTGTGAGCACAGATAAAAGGTGGGTGGTAAACTAAGCCTCTCTCCTCAGAGGAATAAAGCTCAAGGAGTCCCAGGATGGGGGATATGTTTGAGAATAAAGGCCATTTCCCTCCTTTGGATGGGTAGCTGCGTGGCTGCCGTGATCCCTGCCCTCTGGTGTGGTGGTAAAGCTGGGTCACAGGTCAGTCCGCACATGGACAGTCAGGGAAATGTGAGAAAGAGAACGTGGCATCAGGGACAGGAGAAGTCCACTGCTGGTGAGGGTGAGCACAGCCCGAGCAGGGGCAGAGTGCACGGGGCGGGGGCGGGGGGCCTAGGCTCCCTGCGTTGGTTAGAACCCGGCTTCTCCAGCCTCTGTTCCAAGACTTAGGTTCAGTGGGTGTGGGAAGGGGACCAGGGTTTATACTTTCAACCAGAACATCAGGTGAACACAGTGTATTTTATACGTTAGCACTGTCCTAATCTTGTCTGCTTAGGATTGTCACCTCTGAGGCCACCTAAAAGCACAGATTCCTGCCCCCGCCCCCCAGACCCACCGAATGGGGTCCGCATAGGGAGGGCCCGGGAACGGGTCCTTCGCTCGGGCAGAGCCCGTCATTCTGGAGACCAGACGTGCTGAGGGGCCTCTCATCGCGGAAACGTGGCCGTGTGGTCTGGTCGAGCCTCAGAGTGCTCGTCTGCCCCGATGTCACCGGGCTTGGGCCCGGCCGCGCGTCAGCTTCCGCAGCTGTAGAAATGGAATTTCATCGTGGTCCCCAGGGTTTGTCAGACTTGAGGATGCAGATTCATAAACAAGGATGCCAGTTTATTAATGTACAGCATCTGCTCTTAGGGCACCCTAATCCTAGGGTTGAGTCTGGACTATGGGACCTCGGTTGGTGTGGGATCAGCCCCTAGTCAGGCAGAGAGCCGTGGGAGGCTCAGTCCCCGAGCCAGGCCCACCTGGCCGCTCTCTTCCCAAAGTCAGTCTGTCTTGCTGTCTAGGGCATGCTGGATAAAAATGCTAAATCTTAATACTTTGATTAAACAGGCATCTCATTCTTTGTATTTTGATTCTTTTAAATGTCATTTTGTAACTGTCTTGAAATTCTAAGGGCGACTTGATCTCTCTTCTGCCTGCTCGCTCCCCTGGCCCCGGTGTGACTGAAGTGATGTTGTCTATGCGACCCTCTGAGCTAAGAGGGAGAAAAGGGGGTGGCCCAGAGGAGAGTGGGGTCCGTGGGTGTGGCCGTGGGAAGCTGTGAGAACTGTGCAGCGACCACGAGCAGAGTTAATCACATTTATTGTTATTTTAATGGCAAAAGTGACACTTCCAGAGCTGAGCTAGGAGAGAAAGAGAAACTAAATTTAGGCTAGCCAGTGCCCCCGGGCTGTTTACTAGGCTGTCTGCTCACCTTTTAACACCTGAGTCAAGGGCTGTGACTTCCTTTGTTTTTGAAATGAAATAACCCTTTTCAACCAGAAGATGGGGCTGGCTCCCTGGAAACGAACTTCAGAGGCCTTTGTGGGAGGTGGTTTACTGTGTGGCAGGTCATTAACTAACACCTGTAGTGCAGCCTTGTGTCCCTCACGTTGATGAGGTGCCAGAGGAGCTTAACTCTTGTTCAGACCAGAATTGGCTTCGTTACACATCATTTCACTTAAAGTCTCAGACCTGTCGGCAACATTAAGTGACGTCACCAACATCCTGTGCTGGCTTTTCAGGTGGCTGCAGTCAGTAGTACCCAGCTGAGGGTGTACATCAGCATCACCTGGGCAGTCTTTTAAATGCCTGGGCCCCCGCTTGGAAATTCTGGATTAGTTGGTCTGCCGTGGGCTCTGGGCAAGTGGTCCCCAAGCCTCGCTGCACATCTAGAGTCACCTGGCAGGCTTTTAATGCTCCTGGCCTGTACTCCCACCGTCAGAATGCCTGGGAGCAGGGTGACCATCAGTACTTTCTGGAGTAGCCGGCTGATGCCAGCGTGTGGCCAACTTGGGGAACCTCCTGGGGGATTTAACTGGCAGTGGGATCGGATCCACTGGCTGGTAACGCAGACCTGCAGGTGCCTGTTTGGATACAGCTGAAATTGGAATGGGGAGTGGGGGTGCTGAGCAGCAGGGAGGATTGCTGGAAAGATCCTACCCCATCACCCTCCCCCTCCCCCTTACTGAGGAGGCTTGGTCTCCTGCTTCCATGCTGGAGCTGGCCCAGGGATGACAGAAGGGATGACAGGGTCTTAGCCTGGCAGAGAGGAAGGGGCCGAGAACAGCCGGGTGTCATCCAGGACCCTTTCTGTCTGTGTGTCCCCCCAGCTTTGTGACGACAAACTGTGCTCTGCAGTTTTCGTCCCGCGGAATCCGGCCTGGCCTAACCACTGTCCTAGCCCGGAACCTGGACAAGAACACCGTGGGCTACCTGCAGTGGCGATGGGGAATCCAGTCGGCCATGAACACGAGCATCGTCCGGGACACCAAAACCAGCCACTTCACCGTGGCCCTGCAGGTAAGGACTGAGCTCCTCCCACCGCCCAACGTGCCCCTCACAGCCTTCGCCCCGGTCACCCTGCCCGGATCGGAGCACCTGTGGGGGCTCAGGAGAGCAGGTTCCGGTCACCCACTCTCCAGGGTGTTGAAATGCTGTTGGTCCTGGGCTCCCGGGCGCCTGAGCTCCAGTTATCCTAAAGCAGAATGCCTTTTCACGGCTTCCGGTGGGAGAAGCTCACAGAATCGGGGTGGGAGCAGCCACCCCGATCCTGGTTGGTAGGTGACCCCAAAGCAGAATCATACACTCACTCAGATGCCTCCTTGGCCGGGCAGGGGCACAGCGAGAGCGAGCCCACCTTCAGGGCAGCTGCTGCCACGCGGGAATGCAGGCTTGGTGGTGTACTTTTTTCTCATGATAAGGCAGAAGAATGGGTTTTTATGTAAAATCTCCCAGTTTTTATTTTTTATTTATTTATTTTTTTAAATTTCTTTTTTTAACACCTACAGCGCCTGGTCTTCCTAGGTGGTCTCCCATCCAAGTACTAACCAGGCCCGACCCTGCTTAGCTTCTGAGATCAGACGGGATCAGGCACGTTCAGGGTAGTGTGGCCATAGGCAAAATCTCCCAGTTTTTACATATTGGCTACGGGTAAATTGTCACACACTTCGCACAGCTGCCAGACCCGGCCCCTGCCCGGGAGGCCGGCCCACGTGAGCTCGGCAGTGAGTGCGGGCGGCGCGCGTCCGGCCCCGGCCCCGGCCCCAGCCATGTTTCTGTCCCTCCGTCTTCGCAGCTTGGAATCCCTCACTCCTTCGCACTGATCAGCTATCAGCACAAATTCCAGGACGACGACCAGACGCGCGTGAAAGGGTCCCTTAAGTAAGTCCTGGCCCGGGTCACCAGAGCGTGCCTGACCACGGGGTTCCTGACGGTGGAGCCGGCAGGGGAGATGCCCGCTCACTTCGCTCTCTCATGCGTCACGGTTCTCGCAGACCCGGGCCTCCAGGGACCCCGTCTAGTGCAGGAACGGGACCATCGGTGTCCTGGCTATGTCGTGCTCGCTGACCAAGGCGTCAGTCGTGACCCACTCCCTGTGGGTGGTGGGAGGGCAGACGGGAAGGGGTCGGGCCCCCCCTGCCCCCCGCTCTGCATGACCATTGCCCTTGCTTGCTGATTGTGACCTGCCGCCCGCAGGGCAGGCTTCTTCGGCACGGTGGTGGAGTACGGGGCGGAGCGGAAGATCTCCAGCCACAGTGTCCTGGGCGCCGCAGTCAGCATCGGAGTCCCGCAGGGCGTTTCTCTCAAAGTCAAGTAAGCCGAACACAGTGTTCCTGCCACAGGTTGTCTGGCATCTTGGAACCCAGCTGGCTTCACCTGCATCAGGGTGTGAAACAGACTTTGCTTTGTAATTTCACGCTCAGAGGTGCGGTCGCTTCTGTCTTTGGCGTCTAAGCACATGTCAGAGAGTCCCTGAGCCCCTCCTTTACTCAGCGAGGTCTGTGTCTGCTCTCGGAGACCATCCACGTGCCCCACCGCCCACCTTCCAACCCGCCCATGTCTCTCTCGACCCTCTGCCTTCCCCGATGGCCCTGGACGCCCGCCCACCGACACTGCTCCCCAACACCACATGTGCACGCAACATCCTCAGCAGCACAGGCAGCTGAGTGCAGGGTGTCCCCGTTGTCACACAGACCCTTGCTCCCCCTGCTTCAGTGACATCCCTTCCTGCTTTCCAGCCTCTGCACTGCCTCTGGTCTTACCTGGCTGGCTGGTTGCTTCTGGACGGAGGCCTCGCTGTGGTGGGGCCCAGTCCTTGTCTGTGGACTCTCCCCAGGGGTCTCACCGAGCTTCCAGCCTCTGGCCTTAAATACCTCCACGCACGGATGACTCACAGTTAGCCCTCCCCGACATCTCCAGCTTGCCTGTCCAGCTTCATGTTCTGAAGCTCTGCTGGGGTATCTAACAGCATCTCAAACATCACCCGTCTAAAACAGCTCCTGGCCCTCCCCTCACCCTCGGACAGGCATACCCTTCAAAATCTGTTCTGTCTGACGTCTTCCCTGCCTCATCAGAAGGGAGCTCGGTCCCTCCAGGTGTCCTGTCCATGCCCTTGGAGTTAGCCGTGGTCTCTCTCCCACACTAACGGGCCTCAGAGCCGTGTCAGCACGATGCTGACGGCGTGGCCTGAGTCTGACCGTTTCTCACGGCCTCGCTGCTACCCTGTCTCGTGTCTGAACCACTGCAGCATCCCCACTGACCTCACCTGTGTGACACCTGCACACAGGCAGAGTCTTGTTAAAATGTAAGTCAGCATATGTCATCCTCTGCTTAAGACCCGCGGTGACTGCCACACGAGTCCCTGAGGGCCCCCGGTGACCCAGCCCCTCACCGTCCTTCTGGTCTCATGTTCTCCCTGCAGCCTGTGCTCACGCCACCCCTGCCACACTGGCCCCCACACTGCGCCTGGGACACACCGAGCCCAGTCCTGGCTCTGGACGCAGCATTTGCTATTCCTCCATCCCCAGATCACTACATGGCTGGGCCCTTTGATTCCCTCAGGTCTCTGACCAAATGTCACCTAATTGCTGAAGGCAGCCCTTGTCACCTTGGCCCAGGCAGTCCCTTTCCCGGTCACCCTGTTATTCTCTGTTGCACCCAGCTCCAGCTGTCGTAGAGCTTAGAACACAGCCTGGCACCTGCAGCTGTGCCAGGAACTCAGAGAGAGAGGAAACCGACCACATCTCGGTTTCGGAGACGAGAGCCAGCGCAGGTCACCAAGATCGGAGCTGGCATCAGCCGTCTCTCCGCTCGCAGAAGACTTGACAGCAGCTGAGATTTCATGCCCGGCTGCAGAGAGCTGTCCGACTTCTGCAGTCCGATCCCTTGCTCCCCTCCCCCCAGACTGGGACCACTTCCGTGGCACAGTTCTCTGACTCAGTTCGTTTTCGAACACGTCTCCCATAGAGATGTCATCTGACATCAGAATCAGATTCTCGTCCCAAGAATGCCACTCCGGCGCTTCAGAAAGGAACATTTTCTTTTTCTTTTTCTTATTTTTTTATTATGATATTGGTTAACGAAATCCAGTATGTTTCAGGTGTACCATTCAACGGTAAGGCATATAGACATTGCATTGTGTGTTCACTGCCCATAGTTAGATTTCTCTCCGTCACCACATATTTGACCCCTTTTCCCCATCTACCTCCCCACTCCCCGCCTCCTGTTAACGACTAGTCTACTGTCCGTGGCCATGAGTCAGAAAGAAACATTTTCCCTTCAGCCACATTTCCTGTGTCAGCAGGCTGAATTGTCCAAATTATATTTGTATATAAACCAAAGTTTTGCCAGAAGGCACTGGAGTTGCTAACTATTCTCTTATATTTGTTTATTTGGCGAATCACATTACGTTCTGAATGTTGAATCACGTTTACATTCTTGAGGGAAATCCCACTTAGTGATGCTATGTGAGACTTTTTATATATTGCCTCATGTGGTTAGCTAATATCTCACTAAGGATTTTTGCAACTATGTTTATAAGGGATGCTGGTCTATAATCTTTTTTTTTTTTAATTTGTATTTGTCAGGTCTTAGAATGAGATATGCCAGCCTGATAAAATGAGTTAGGAACCGTTCCTTCCACCTCTATTTTCTGAAAGAATTTGTGTAAGATTGGTATTATTTCTTCCTTATGTTTTATAGAATTCACCAGTGAAGTCAACTGAGCACGAGTTTTCTTTGTAGGAAGGTTTTGGTTAATGAATTCTATTTCTTTCATAAATATAGGGCTTTTCCAGTTTTCTGTTTGATCTTATGTCAGCTCCTTAATTTGTAATTTTCTTCTAGGAACTTGTCCATTTCATCTAAGTGTCAAATTTATTAGCAAAATGTTGCTCATAATATGCTCTTATATTTTTAACATCTGTAATTATCTTTCGATAATCTCTCTTCATTCCTGATGTCAGTAATTTGTATTCTTTCTACCTATTTCTTAATCGGTCTGGCTAGGGTACTTAACCTTGCAAAGAACCAGATTTGGGCTTTGTAAATTTTCTCTATTGTTTATCTGTTTCTGTTTAATTGATTTCTGATCTCATTTCTTTTCTTCTTATTTTGGTTTTACTTTGCTGTTCTAGCTTTTTAAGGTCAAACCTTATTTTATTAACTTGAGACTTTCTTTTCTAATATAAACATTTAAGGCTGTATATTTCTCTTTAAGAACTGCTTTACCCAGTCAAAAATTTTGATATCTTTCAAAGTATTTTCTAATTTCACTGCTAGAAATGTATTGCTTAATTTCCAAATACTTGGGTTTTTTCTAAATATCTGATTGTTGATTTCTAATTTAATTTCATTTTGGTAAGAGAACATATTTTGTATGATTCCAGTCTTTTTAGATATATTAAGACTTGTTTTATGGCCCAACATATAATTGATGTTGGTCAGTGTATCAGGTGCACTTGAAAAAAATGTGTGTTCTGCAATTGTTGGTTGTAGTGTTCTATAAATATATTAGGCCAAGATCATTGACAGCATTTGTCAGAAATCAGAATTTCTACTACCGATTTTGTTGGGGAGTTCTATCAATTGCAGAGAGAGAAATGTTAAAATCTCCAGCCGTGATTGTGGAATTCTGTAATTCCTTCTTTTGTCAGATTTTGCTTTGTGTATTTTTAAGTTCTCTTATTAGACACATACATTTCGATGATTGTATCTTCCCAGTGAGTTGACCTTCTTATCATCATGGAGCATCTCTCTATCTCACAGTACTGTCTATCTTGGCACCTGCTTTATCTGATATTAACGTAACAGCCCCAGCCTTCTCATGCTGACTGTTGGTATAGTTCTTGTGTTTCTGTCCGTTTACATTTAACCTGTCTCTGTGTTTATATTTTAAATATCTCTCATACATAGCATATAGTTAGATCTTACTTTTCCATTCTTACTATTTGTTCAGATACTCTCTTGCCTTTTTAAATTTTTTTTTATATAGAACACTTCACGAGTTTGCTTGTCATCCTTGCACAGGGGCCATGCTGATCTCTATATATGTGCTGCCGAAGCGAGTACATCTCTTGCTTTTTAATTGGAGTATTTAATTCGTTAATATTTAATGTAATTATTCATATGGTTGGATTTAGGCCTGTTATTTATTATTTTCTATTTGTCCCTTCTGATTTTTTGTTCCTCTAACCATTTTCCTCTGCCTTCTTCTATGTTAACTGAATATTTTTAGCATTTCATTTTAATTTATCTGTTGACTTTTTAGCTATACCTCTGTGCATTATTTTTTTCCAGTGGTTTTTCCAGAGGTTACAATATACATTACTAATAACCTTCCATCATCTATTTAGATTTAATATTGCATTCCACGTAAAATGAGGAACCTCAAAAACCTCTGGGGCCATTTTCCCCCTTCCCATGTCCTTTATGTCGTGGTCTTCTGTATGTGACATCTGCACACATTATAATCTCCACAGTAGTGTTGTCATTTTGGCTTTAAATTGTCATGTATATGTTAAAGGAATCAAAAAAGTAATAGTTTTGTGTTGATCCTTTTTTTTTTTCTTTTTCCATTTTAGCGTTCCTTACTTATTCCTAAAAATCGGAGTTTTCTTCTATATTAGTTTCTTTGGCCTGAAAAACTTTCTTTAGCTTTTCTTATAGTGTAAGTCTGCCAGTGGTACCCTCTTAGTATTCTGCACCAGAATACATGTTTATTTTTCCTTTATTCTGCTTTTATATTTTATTTATTATATTTTACCTATAAGCATCATTTTATTTTTATTTTATATCACATTAACCTAAAATAGTTCATGGGCATTCCCACCCCAGATCTAAAAATGGTATCACTGCTATAATTTTTAAAGTCAGGTGTATTGAGGTAAAAATTTACATAAATTAGAATTCATCCTTTTTATTGTATAGTTCTGAGTTTTGACAATCATGTAAGTCACGTAACCACTGTCAAAATCAAGATACAGAATAATTCCATCATCCCCCCAAACTCCTCCATGCCCTATGTGTGGCCTCCTAGGCCCTGGCAACCACCAATCTGTTTTTGTTCCTTATATTTCTGCCTTTTTCCAAATGCCGTGTGAATGGAATCATACAGTCGAAGCCTCCTGGACGTGCGTCTGAGACGCATCCGCATCGTTGCATACGTCGGTAGCATGTCCCTTATGACTGCTGTTCGGTGTTGCGCTGTGTAGATGTCCACAGTCTACCAGTTTAAACATATTTCTATTGTTTCCAGTTTTTGACAATTACAAATAAAGCCAATATAGGCATTCATATACAGGTATCGTGTGAACATTAAGTTTTGATCTCTTGGATAAGCACCTAGGAGTAGGCGTGCTGAGTCATATGCTAGGTGTGTGTTTATAAAAGTACTGAGCTGTTTTCCAGAGTAGTGGTTTCTGCCAACCCTTTGTGTGGGTTGTTTTTGTTTTTGTTTTTCTGTTTGTTTTGTTTTTTTTGTTTGTTTGTTTTTTTTTAATATCTAATGATGTTGAGCATCTCTTCGTGGACTTATTTGCCATCCATAAATCTTTTTCAGTGAAGTTTCCGTTTAAATCTTTTGACTGTTTTCTTATTGAGTTGTTTGGTTTCTTATTTTTTGCATTCTATATCAATTCTAGATTTGCTTTCATTATTGAAGGATATTGTCACTGGATAGAATTTAGGATTAATAGATTTTTCTCTTTCAGCACGTTACAATGATGTTCTTCTGTCTTCTGGCCTCCAGTGTTTCTGATGAAGAGTCATTGGTCATTTGAGTCATTATTCCCCTATATGTAATGTGTCTTTTTTTTTTCCTGGCTATTCAATTTTTTTTTCTTTTTTTTTTAGCAAGTTAACAGCAATGTACTTTGATGTGGTTTTGTTGTATTTATGTTGCTCGAGGTTTGCTAAATTGGTGTCCTACATCAAATTTGGCGTTTTTAGGCTATTAAGTCTTTAAAAATGTATTCCTGCCTCATTCTTTCTCTCCTCTCTGGGGCCCTAATTAATAGAGTAATTCGTATCCTCTTCTCGGTGTTGTGAATAGTGCGTTGTAGAGACCCTGTCCTCTGTCATGTTTCTCCAAAAAGTGTTGATGTTCCCTTTAGAAGGGAGTTAGAAGTCAGACTGCAAGCTCAGACTCACCTGTTTGGCAGCAGCCAAAACACCACAATTCTTTTCCCCTTAGCTGGGCCACCGACAGACGAGAGACCAGCCGGGGATGTGCCACCTTTATACACAGAACCTAGGGCTTCCCTGTCGTTGACGTTCCTCTTTGTTCACTGACTTTTGGGGACCTCCCACATCCCAGCTACTATGGTTACCCCAAACTCTGAGCTCTGTTGAATCAATCTAATAGGACCGCAGATTCCAGTTTTAGCATCCAAACGGTAGACTGAGACTTGCCCTGTTTAAAAAAAACAATACCAGGAGACCCTTGCAGTCTCATCCTCTGCGTGCCAGCCCTCCTCTTGGAGCCACCGGCCTTGAGTTGCTGTCCAGTACCTGAAGTTCTGTGTTTGTCGTACATGGTCCTGAGTTCACCTTTGTTGTCTGTGGGATGGTCGATCCAGTAGCAGCTACTCAGCCATTACTGGAAGCAGAACCTCCTTAAGTTGCTAACTTTGGAAATCTTCACACACTTCTTTTGAACAGGTAAATTAAGGACTGGAGTGTGACTCTGTCCCCAGGATACCTGGAGGAGTGTCTGCTCCTGTCTTCTAAGGCCACCTTTGCTCTGGTTAAGCACTAGTTTGTCGCTTTGCCCTTGTGGTCAGCAGGTCCTGGGATCTTTCTGCCTTCACGTACATCACATCCAGCAGCTGAACTTGGGGATGGGGACAGCAAAGGGGAAGCTGACACTGGGCTCCACCCCTCCGGTGGTCTGTATGTCCAAGAGGCTCTCTGCCTGGCACTGGGCCACCGCCCCTCCTCTCCTGGAGACCCGACTCATCTCGGAGGTTTTGTTTTTATTTGCAGATTAAACAGAGCCAGTCAGACTTACTTCTTCCCCATTCACCTGACGGATCAGCTTCTTCCCAGCGCTGTGTTCTATGCCACTGTGGGGCCCCTCGTGGTCTACTTTGCCATGCACCGTCTTGTCATCAAGCCATACCTCAGGGCTCAGAAAGAGAGGTGAGTGTAAAGCATGTCACTGAGACATCACTAAACAGCTCTGTGCCTCAGCGTCCTCACGGTCTTTCAGATGGAGACGATACTAGAACCTACCCCATAGGGTTCTCACTGATTGATGCCTGTACGGGGCTGAGTGTCGGGCCTGGTCCATAATAAGGACTCAGTAAGCGTTAGCAGATCTGCTACCATCACTTTCTCTTCTGTCTCTCACTCCTATTTCCAGAAAGGATTAGTCTGTTAACCAAATTGTCGAGACTTTAAACCATGACCACAAGAAATAAAAAGTTTTTCTTTTTCTCATTCTAACCATTTCTTTTCCGGCACTGAATTCGGGAGGCGTGGGTTCTGAGTTCTCACATGAGGGGCAGGTGTTGACTGTGTCTCAGGCGTCACAGCAATGTAATCTGTTTTGCAGTATTTCATGGATCCTCCAGTGAGGGCATAATATCCACTCTGAGGGGTGGTTTAGAGTCGTCGCTTTGTCGTGATGGAGTTTCATGAATCGTGCAGCTCAGGGAATTGAGGGGAAGGAATGAACAGCGTTCTCCAGGCCCTGCGGCCTTTGGATCGGGAGAGTTCAGGACCCTAATTTCCCAGGAGGCTTGAGGCTTGAAACAAAGGATGTGCTTCATCAGGCCTTCTGACGGGACGGGTGTGTGCCGCCTCGCGTCCCTGTGCTTTGCTGAGAGGAAAGTGTATTTACGTATCTCACGGAGGCTGTGTCGTCCCTCCCAAGAGTGGTGGAAAGTAATCCCGGGAGACTGGTGGTGTCTCCTGTGAGTCTCACCTTCTCCCCTGATGCTGTCAGCTGGAGGTTTCTTCCCAAAGGGCCTGGCAGCGGGTTTCCCGTTCGCCCTGGTGCTGAGGTGGCTGAGAGCCACCTAGGGACAGCGGGGAGGCTGCGTGGGCCTGTGACTGCCAGATTCGCTTGAGGTTATCTCGGAAATACTGTGGAGAGTTCTGGAACTGGGGATGCAGTTAGAGCACAGACTGTTCGCAGGCCCAGTGAGGGCAGCACCGCGCTAATGTGTGCCTTGTGTCTTCTCGCATAGGGAGTTGGAGAAGCAGAGGGAAAGCACGGCCACTGACATCCTGCAGAAGAAACAAGAGGCGGAAGCTGCTGTGAGTGCTGCACGCGCCCCCAGAAGCCCTGGGGCTCCGTGTGAATCCGCGTGCCACACACGCCCGCCCCTCTCCCCCGGAAGCCCTGGGGCTCCGCGTGAATCCGGGTGCCGCACACGCCCGCCCCTCTCCCCCGGAAGCCCTGGGGCTCCGCGTGAATCCGGGTGCCGCACACACCCGCCCCTCTCCCCCGGAAGCCCTCGAGCTCCGCGTGATCGGGTGCTGCACACGCCCGCCCCTCTCCCCCGGAAGCCCTGGGGCTCCGCGTGAATCCGGGTGCCGCACACACCCGCCCCTCTCCCCCGGAAGCCCTCGAGCTCCGCGTGATCGGGTGCTGTCCTGCAGGGCAGGAGCAGTTTCTTAACCTGGGGCTCGGGGGTACTTCCCACCCTGTGTGCTGTCTCCAGGGCCTCCGGTCTCAGGCCTTTCTTCCCCAAGAACCGCACTGGTCAAGTTAGTCTTCACACTGCCCATGGGGCACTGTCCTGGGGACTTCAGTTCCTGTCCCTAAAGATGAGTTGCAGTTGTTCTCAAAAGACATAACGAGGTTTTGTAAAAAGTGGTGGATTTTGTTCTCTTTTTCTTACCTTTAAATGAATAGTTTTTACCTGATGTAAGGTGACAGGTATCTAGGGTAAGTGACAGGGGAAGGGCTGAAATGCCCCAGGCACGTGCTGTGGCTCTGAACAGAGCCGGAGCTCAGTGAGGGCCCTGACCTCGGCTTGCCTTGGTCTTTGCAGGTTCGGCTGATGCAGGAATCTGTCCGAAGAATAATCGAGGCAGAAGAATCCAGGATGGGTGAGAAGGCTTGGCCTCTCTCGGGATCTTGGGACAGGGTGGGCGCAGGGGTCTCTAAGGAGCACACCATTCCTGGGGTCCAGCCGCATCGGGGGGCGGGCGTCGGCCACAGCTCGCCCCTGCCCTGACGCAGCCTGTCCTCAGGGCTCATCATCGTCAACGCCTGGTATGGGAAATTTGTCAACGACAGGAGCAGGAAGAACGAGAAGGTGAAGGTGATCGACGTGACTGTGCCCCTGCAGTGCCTGGTGAAGGACTCGAAGCTCATCCTCACGGAGGCCTCTAAGGTACGGCGCCATGTGTCCACGGGTCCTGGCAGGGAAGGCCTCTGGGGACTGGGGACAGTTGGCCCCAGGGAATGGCCATTTCGTAGCAGCGGAATCCGCTGTACGGGCTGCCGCCCGGCACCCAGGTGCTTCCCGCGTCGGAGCTGTTTGCGTCACTCATTCACCCAGTCACTCGTTCGCAGCAAGCGCTCATCAAGCACCTCCCACGCTGGTACAGCAGCCAACAGGATGTGCGTCTGCCTTCGCGGAGCTGACGTGCAGCTTGTTCCTCGCCCTGCTCCAGGAGCGCGAGGCCACCTCCTGCGCATCTGGCTCAGGCTGGAGCCTGGGGTGCGGATTATAAAGGCGAATAAAAGTGCAAATTAGCTCAGGGCAGGGACCGCTAGCTCCCTGAAGACGGCTAATGTCTCCGGCTGGTGGCTCCCGTGAAGACAGGTGCATGTACGGTACGGGGAGGGGCCTATATTGAAAGGGCAGTCTAGGATGAAATGGGCAGCTTGTTTGAATTTTCGTTTCTTTCTCCTCAAGCTGCAATGTTTGCGTCTTTCTGGGGCAACTTCTGAAGCAAAGTCCAGACCCTTCCACGCTGCCTCTGCAGGCGGCAACGGGCCGTGGCCATGCTGGTCTAAACGGGGCCCAATGGTAGTGTGTGTGTTGCAGGCTGGGCTGCCCGGGTTCTACGACCCATGTGTGGGCGAAGAAAAGAACCTGAAGGTGCTTTACCAGTTCCGAGGGGTCCTGCACCAGGTGATGGCACTGGACAGCGAGGCGCTTAGGATACCAAAGCAGTGTGAGTAGCTGCCCCTTTGAAGTCACCTGTCCTGTGCACAGGCCAGGAGAGGCCCTCGGCCACTGACCAGGGCTGGGAACATCAGAATGTGGGGTGACAGCCGCCCTCCCTCTGTTTTCCACCTGGGAGCAGGCGGGCTTGGGCACCGTGACTCGCTCCGGGAGGTGCCCCTCTCAGGGGTGTCAGCCTGTCCCAGGTGGAATTAGCCCTGCTTGCAGCTGCAGCTCAGTGGCTGGGTGTGAAGCAAACCCAGCCGCTCTGTACATTGCAGAGCCCGCGTCGGCCAGGCGGCCTCGGGCCTGCTGATGGCCGCGCCTCTGTGTGGAAAAAGGCCATGGAAACAGCTGCTGTTCGATTCACTGGTTTGCCTTGTCTTTTACAGCTCACAGGATTGACACAGATGGATAAACTGCGTGAGAAACCAGATTAAAAGAGGCTGCAAAAAATCTTTTCCTGGGAGTCTACAAATTTGGAAGCAGGGAAAAAACCCAGACATCTGATGTGTTTGTTTTATATTATTCCTATAGAAGGCGGTACCCTATCAATTAAGTGAAGGGGACACACAGACACCCCACTTTCGTGGGTGCTGTAGGTAGGACTGAGGCAGCCCCACCTGGACCAGGACCACAGCACAGCCGTGTCTGTCTCCCCAAGGATTATGTCCCTGGAAGGGAGGGCGCCGGCCCCGCCGCCTCTGGCCCCCCCGTCTCCTCCACGAGTGCCGACCGCTGCCACCCAGTAGTTCCTGTCGTCTTGAGGCCGTTACGGAGCCCCACCCTCATGCGGGAGGCGAACTGCTTCTCCTGAACCCCACACTGAACGTGGACAGCCACGGGGCCAGGAAGGAAGGCGGGCGCTCTCAGGAACAGAGGTCTCCCGTCGAGGGAGCATCTGCTGGGTCGGTGTCCCGAAAACCACCTTTTCCTGCCGAAATGTGACTAAGTGAATCCGGAGAGGGTTGTGTGGGTCTATAAATCTGCTTTTTATCTGAGAACGAATGATTCTGGAAATCAGTCTCTTTTTTCCCTCCCAGGACTCCTCCAGTCATTCCTCTGGCACTTGGCTTGGGACAGTGGTGTCACTCGGTCCCAGGGCCCATCTCTGTCACAAGTCGCTTTCCAGCAGCAGCACCCCCCCCACCGCCATCCTGGGAGAAGGCTGTGTCCCTCTCACTGCCCACGC